TTATAGTCACTTAAGATCTAAAAGGCGGTCTTCTCATAATAAACTTTAAATTAGCATTCTCAAACGATAGTTAAAATACTTACCTATAAATTCTTCTACACTATTATAACTATAAAATTAACTAAAAGGACAGGAAGCGCCGTCTCCGGGAATCCATCAAGAGGCGAGCTACATCCAAAAATACGAACATCCCGTTTCAGAAAAAAAAATTCTAAATATGTCACGACGATAATTATTTGTGACAACGTTTTATGTTTTAAAACTATCACCACCGCCACTCTTCCCGTGGGTGTCGTATACCCGACTAAGGTACTATACATTAGACAGAGACCATGCAGCAGCGCTCTCCAGCCTGGCTGTGGAGATTATGGCAAATCCCTCTTATGTATTTTATATCACAAACAGTAAGTGTTGATGATCATCATCGATTTTTTTTTATATTTGATGGGCCGACGTTTAACCACTATCTCGCCAGGGAAGCGATGATGCGGTCTACGATGGAGCACGTCGTCCCATAAGGAACCTATTCACTCGAGCTTTGAAGACACCCAGGTTATACCCTTCAGGGACACATTACTTACACAACTTACATTGTTCTCGCACAATACAAACAGCAAACTATGTAACTAGAGAATTGTATTGTGAACCTGATTGAAAAAGAGTAACCTATGGAGTTTCTTGCTCGTTCTTCCCCATAGGACTCTACACCTTGGAATGAGCAAATAACTTGACTTTTAATTTTTTTGTTGACGTTCAAATGTGCCTTTCTGGTCTAATTGAAATGAATGACTTTGACTTTGAGATGCTCTTCATAATCATTATATATTATAAAACAGAGTAAGAATAGTTCCAAGCAGAACACATCTAATGCACGAGAGCATATTCTGTATAGTATCGAAGATATTTAATAATATTCCGGGAGATATAAGACAAATCAAAGAAACAACCATATTTAAAAAGAAATTACATGACATATTGGTGAATAAATGTTATTATACTATAAATGATTACCTAAATGACAAATCCCTGCTACAATATTCTATACCTAAATCATGACGTGTTCAGTATTACCTATTGTACTTATTTTACTAAATAAATCATAATAAATATTTGACATAAGCATTTATCGACATGACATATGTACCTCTAATCTATCTATACTTATAATAAATCTGTAGAGAGGTCAATTCTGTACATAAAATATATTTAAAAAATAACTATCAAGGGGTGGTTAGGGATCGCTACTGATGCCAAAAATGCAATCAGTAAAATTTTTGTCTGTCTGTCTGTCTGTCTGTATGTTCGTTATGGAAACAAAAACTACTCGACGGATTTTAACGAAATTTGGCACAATTATTCTTCATACTCTTGGGCAGGTTATAGTATACTTTTCATTATGCTACGATCAATAGGAGCAGAGCAGTGAAGGGAATTATTGGGAAAACGGGAGAAGTTACTCCATTCATTAACTTAATACACAAGGAGTTACACGCTGACGGAGTCGCGGGCACAGCTATCTATACTTTTCTGCCGGAAGTCACTATTCCACGCGGACGAAGTCGCAGGCAAAAGCTAGTTTATCTAATAATTTCTTGTTTTATTACCTCTATATAATTGACTTATTTGAACATTAATATTGTACCCAACTATTGTACGCCCTATGGGCAGGACACAGCTGAGCTCAACCAAATTATGATAACAACTCTATTATGTATCTACCTGTGATCTACAATGAATAAATGAATTTGAATTTGAGAGTCCCCACCACGTCTGTCTGTCTGTCTGTATGTTCAACAACAGGGATTACCCTTGGGTAAAGTTTTAGGTTATATATAGATTTAACTTTTGTTTAAATTGACGATACTACAGCGATATTAGAACTGTAATAGATGAAAAATAAAATGATTTAGATAGTTTAAAGGAAATTACCAATTAAATGTTGTAATATAGGATACGCTTTAGGCCAGTGCCGGATTAAGCCAGCGCGGGGCCTGTAGCAAATTTTATCAAGGGGCCCTTGGTTTGCTATCGGTTCTCAAATTTAGGGTATTAAATTAAACAAAACTGTTACAAATAAACTTTTCTGGATTTATTTTGGGCAAATTTAGCGATTACACTTATTGAAAGTGTAATCGCTAAATTTGCCCAAAATAAATCCAGAAAAATATTGAATTTTACACGTATAAAGACTTAGGTACTATAAACGTTATTTTAAAGCTTGTAACTGACTTCAAATGCATGTGAAGTTTCATTAGTATCCTGTAAGTATTGAACAAGTTATTATGATATTGTGTTCTTCACGAGCACGGCCTTGATGCGCGCGATCTTATTTGGCCACTGGATTAGATATATGGACTGAATGTTATGTTATGTCAATAATTAGTTGTTTAGTTCAGTTATATATCAGTAAAATTTCAGCTCAGTACATTGGATGATCAATGGGATAATACGATTAAAGTCATTAGGACGAGAATGACCGTGGTAACCCGATCAAGTTTAGGTGGTTACGAAAAAGCGAAAACGCAGAACATTCATCAACATTCATAAGCTTTAAAATAACGTTTAAAGTAAGTCTTTAGAGCTCTTATTGAGAGTGCTGAGACCAATTGAAGTGTTTTTCTATTTAATGAAATAACCATTAAGCTATGTATTATTTTAGCTTTTTTATTGCACAACAAATTT